AATATATCTTTATTGATTTCAGAGAGAGGAAAGGAGAGGGAGAGAGAGAGAGAGAAACATCAATGATGAGAGAGTCATTGATCGAGCCCGCAACCCAGGCATGTGCCCTGACTGGGAATCGAACCCTGATCGCCTGGATCTTAGGTCGATGCTCAACCGCTGAGCCACGCCCGGCCGGGCAACGTGCTGGGTTCTTAATGCTGCCTCTGCTCTACTTGTTTTGTCATCTCAGAAAAATTGCACTTTTAAGGCAAAAGCTCAACCAGTGTGTTCCATAGGATCATTGACGTGTTTCTGTGCCCCCCTTCTCTGTTGTCACCACGCTGAGTGAAGGCCTTCAGAATCCCCCCAGGCCCTCAGCAGCCTGGGATCCTGGCCCTGGGTTTCCTCTGCTTTGAAATGTAGCCATGAGGCTCCCCCCACTGCCTTAATCTAAAATACTAAATTCAGTGATAAGTTTCCTTATAAGACCACTAACTGTTGTACCCCTGACTACCACCTCAGCTTTGTCTTCATTTGTAGAAAACTCTCACCCCTGCTCTGAACTCCTCTCCCTTTGTATAAGGTCATCCTTCTGTTACAGCTAGACATGCCCTGCCTGGCAGACTCCTGAATACTCCCTAGCACCTGGCCCGATTTTTATTTTATGTGGGTGTGTACGTGTGTGCGCACACAGCTTTCTCTCACTTCATTGTGGTTATATACTAAATCTTTCTTGTTGTGTTGTTTCCATAGAATTTGGTCCATATCTGTTTTATCAGTTATCCCCATGGATTTTAAATCTTCTATGTCTTCCCTCTTCATAGGCTCTGATCTCCTTGGGGACAAGAATCTTGTCCCAGCTAACTTTGTGGTGTCTGCCACAGCGTCTGGCACAGGGCAGGCAGCTCATCAGGGGATGTGGGATGAGTGATGAGTGAATGATGAGTCTGCAGGTGTGCAGCTATCCCCAGGAGTGGCCGTGGCACGGTGATGGTGACATCATTGTGGGTACCTTGCAGGGCCTGAAAGTTCTTCTGTAACTTGAAGTTATCTTTTTGTCATCAGTTCAGGTTTTAGCTTATATCTGAAGTACCACGTGTACACTTGAAGAAACAGATTCACTCTGACTTATTTTGTCACTCCCCTCCCCCTCCCCAAAATGAAAGCCTCTGATTAATGCCGGGTGGTTCTCAGAAACAGCCTCTGACCAGACTTCTTTCAGAGGTGTTTGCTAGGGGACAGTCTGGTCCGTGTGCTGGGTAGAAATTACAAAGAACATTTTTCCAACTAGAAGCTTTTCCAATTGCTTGAATTTAAACATTTTTTTCAGTTACCTTAACTTTTGCATTTATTTTAGTGTTTTGTATTTTTTTTACTACAGTACATAAAACTAGTTATTAAAGGGTAATGCTTTATTAATTGAAAATATAACATTTGAACATAGTTTGGAGAACCTAAGAACATTTTTGGTACAAATGCTTTATTTCAGGGAGAAAACATGTCCTAAAGTACCAACTACTTGGGACAGTTTGCTTGTTCCTGACTCTGATTAAACGTGATAAAGCCATCGTAACTGGGTGCAGAATTTACTCACTGGCCTTTGGAACCGTAGCTGTGGACATACTCTCACTGTGTCTGAGTTTCCAGTTCTCTGCCAACAAGGCCACATTATCTTGATTTTATGCTTTTTTAGTAGAAACTTAGGCAGAGTCAGATCTATTTCTGGGAACAAAAGTCTCAGTATCTTAACCTCTTTTATTTGGAAATGTCCTAGATGTCTGACTGATGGGAAGTCTCAGCCAGCAGTCAAGGAACCAAATAAAAATTGTACATTTTGAAGAGTTTTTTGTAAGCTTCATCTTAGTTTATTATTCCAAGTGAAGTTCATAATGAAAGATGCTGCATGTGTCTTGAAGTTTAATTATAATTTAAATGTGCATCAAGTATAATAATGAGCTGCCTTAGAGTTTGGATGATGAAAAAGAGCTTTATTTATATGTGTATTTTTAGCACTTACGAACTTGAAGAAGAATTGCAAAATCATATTTTCCCTGTTCATTTTAGTTTATTTTAATACCAATTTTAGATATTAAGATGAACATTTATTGAACATTTACTATGTGTGATCCTCTATGCCCAGTGCTTTCTACGTTCTGTATGATTTCATTCTCACAGGGCTCCCCGTGGTGAGCACCAGCATTGTATGGGGAAACTGAGGCTTGGAGAGTTTGATAACCAGCTCGGGTCACAGTACAGAGAGCAGTATAGCAGACCATCGAGCCCCTTGCCTCTGTCAGTGCTCTGAGGACATGTAGACAAATCTTCCCAGTATCACCACGAAGTCCCATGGAGAGAAAGACCCCACTCTGTTGCATAACTGACAGTTTTTTACTTAGAAGTTTATGGACTATATCTGCATATAAAGTGTACCTGAAGTGAGAACTCTCATTCTAAACCAACCTTTTACTTCTAAATGAAAATGTTTCTCCTCTTAGTTTTACTTCAGTTGGACATTTTTTTTGACGCCTAGCATGTCCACGCACTTGGCTCTGTGCTGTGAGGGAGACCCAAATTAGCAAGATGGTGAACCTGATCTCCAGGTATTTTACTTCCCCTGTGTAGGCCTGATGAGAAAAGTGTGTAATTAGATATCAACCCAGTGTAAGTGCTGTGAACGCTGTAAGTAGAATAATCAGGGTGCCATAGGAAAGCAGACAAGTAGGAACTCAGGATTGGGAGGATCAGAGAAGGACACAAAGGAGTGACATTTGGGCTGGCTGAGCCCTGAGCAGGGATGGACATGTGGAGACTGAACTGTGAGCAGAAGCAGTTTCACAAGTTATTAGCAACTTTCTCCACTTTCCTCAGGGCTAGGCAGGCCCTGTTGACGAGGCTGTGGGCCTAGGATGGGGCCTAGCATAATTGGACAGTATTTCCCCTTCCTCCAAAACACATTCAAATTAAAATATTTTTAAAAATACTTTGCCAAACAAAACACTTTTCTGGCCAGCTTCTTGACCCAGGCCCACTGGGCTGTGACTTCTGGGTAGGAAGTGTTTTGAAAATGGCAAGCACTTGAATTAACTGGAGGAATGTGTGTGGGAAACAATGGAAGTAAAGCTGGGTAATTGTTTGGACACACAGACTCTCCTTTTATTTTCTGCTGGGTTTGGCTGCCTGTCTTTGATCTCTTTGTTTTTTATACATCTCTGTTAAATGAGTACTGTGGGAGTCTTAAATGCCAGCCCATTGAAGAATTTGTTAATTCACTGGGCCATGAGCACAATTAAAGGTAAGGAGGGAGCGGTTTCCATCCACCCCTCCACCCTACCTCACATTTGTTCACTCGGTCACAGTACTGACACTCCATTTTGTGCCAGGCTCTGTTCTCAGCTTGAGGACTCAGTCAGTATCCCGTCCTCAGGGCAGTAGCACTGTGACACTGTGACACTGTGACGTGTGTGGTGCCTCCGACAGGTTATTCTGACAGCAGTCTTCATAGTGAGAGGAGAGGGATTGGAGGCGGGAGGTGTTAGAAATTAATGTAATTGACCAAGCAAGAGACAATGAGGGCTGTATAGCAATTCCTCAAAAAGTTAAAAATAGAATGATTATATGACCCAGCAATTCCACTTCTGGGTATATATCCCCCCAAAATTGAGAGCACAGTCTCAGAGAGACATTTGTGCACACATGTTCAAAGCAGCACTATGCACAGTAGCCAGAAGTTGGAAGCACCCAGGTATCCATCGGTGGATGAATTGATAAGCAAGATGTGTTATACCCAACGATGGAATGTCAGTCAGCCTTAAAAAGGAAGGAAATTCTGACATGTGCTGCAACATGGATGAATGTTAAAGGACACTGTACGAAGTGAAGTAAGCCAGTCACATACAAGACAGGTATTGTGTGAGTCTACTTATACAAAGTACCTAGAGTAGTTAAACTCATAGAGGCAGACTATAGAAATGTAGACTGGAGCTTGCCAGGGGCTGGAGATATGAGGTCATGGTACGTTATTGTGTGGTGGGTGCAGTCTCAGTTCTGCAAAATAAAAGGACTTCTGGACATGGATGGTGCTGATGGTTGTACAACAGTGCGAATGTACTTAATACCACTGAACTGCGCACTTACGTGCGGTTAAGATAGCACATTTTATGTCATGTGCATTTTACTACAATTAAAGATAATTTGAAAAGAGAGACAGTAGGGTCTAAGTTTGGGGACTGTACTGGAAGAAGCACAGAGGGCTGCACAGTGGGCAGGGTGCAGAGGGCTAGGGAGGTGACGGTTCCGCAGAGAGAATGAGATTTCAAGCCCAGAGGACCGTGTGTTCCATGAGTTTCTTACAGAAGGACCAACATAGTTGGAGAAATGCTGTGTTAACTTCTAGAACTTTGAGTGTCAAGTGTAGCAGGACCTGTATGTGGCTCTGTGCTTTGGTAGATGGGATGCTGGCCTGGAGCTCAGAAGGAACCATGATGAGAGAATTTGAGGAGTCGCCTGTGTGGAGGTGCTGGTTCAAACTGAGTATAGAATGGGATTTCTGTGATGGAGCTATGGTAAGGAGATGGAAGAGGGTGTTTTTTAGGGAAAGATGAAATGAGAAACAGAAGCAGCGGTCAGGAAAGTGGAAGAGGAACTGACAGCATGGAGCCTTGGCGGCTACACAAGTGAATATGGTCTGCGGTGCCCAAAATTGCGGAGATAAGAGCCTCAGAAGGAGGGCTGGATTTTATTCCAAGTCTGTCAGGAAGCAGTGACCTTTAAGAGAGCGGTTTTAGTAAGTTTTGTATGGAGTTCACACATGTTGAGCTTGGCTGGGCTAAGCAAGCTGGATCTAGTGGGTAGAGCAATGGATGGAGGAAGCCAGTGGTGAAGTCATTATAGTTTCTGGGCATGAGATGACAAAGTTCTGGATGGGGAAGCGTAGGGATAGGGTAAAAGGTGAAAGATGTATCTGAAAAGGATCACCCAATGGGACTCAGTGATGGGAAGAAGGGGAATAGTTGAATTTCATGGCATGTTTTCTGGCCTTTGGGTTGGTGTGTGGTGATGTATTGATAGAGAAAGAGACTTGGGAAGAAAGTGTCATTTAGAGGAACGATGAATTAGCTCTGTACACACAGGAAATGTGACAGGAAGCTTTCTCGTGGAATGTGTTCATTGGAGACATGGAGATACTTGGCGGTGCGGGGAGTGGTAAGGGTGAGAACATACAGAGTGGTAAGGTGCCTTTGGGTTGGTCATGAAGGCGTTTTAGTTTAATTGATGGAAATGATTCTTTTCATTCGTAGTATGCATCAGTGTAAGTGTATGTATGGGTTAGATTAGATGGAATCAGGAGTGATCTCAATAATGCTCATGAGCAGTAGATTTGTTTATTTGTCTGTTGGTCTGATTTTGGATATGGCAAAGGGTGTAGTTTTCAGGTTGATGATTTTTGTTTTTTTAAAATTTTTTAAATACATAACTAAGGATTTTTTATTGATTTTAGAGAGAGGAAGGGAGAAAGAGAGAGACGTTGATCAGTTGCCTCCCATATACACGCTGACTAGGGATCAGACTGTAAACTGGGTATCGAACCCACCACCTTTTGGTGCATAAGACAATGCTCCAATCACCTGAGCCACACCGGCCAGAGCCAGGTTGATGATTTTTAAGTTCAATATAAATAAATAAGTAAATAAGTAAATAAGCAAATAAGTAAATAAGTAAATTTATTTATTTATATTGATTAATGTGTGAGAGAGAGAGAAACATCGATTTATTGTTGTACTTATTTATGCATTCATTGGTTGATTCTTGTATTTGCCCTGACCCGGGATTAAACCCACAACCTTGGCAAATCCTGACGACCCTTTAACCAACTGACTACCTGGCTGGGGCCTTATTTTCTTCAAATGAAGGGCTTTTATTAGAAGAATGTTAGCCTTGTGATGCTTATAGAATGAATCAGTAAGATAATTTGGAGATATTATCTAATTTTATAATTGTATCAATTAAAATACAAATTTTAGAATATTTTTATCATTTCTTATAAAGTTTAAATTAGTCTTAACTCTTTTTTTTTTTTTTAAATATATCTTTATTGACTTCAGAGAGAGGAAAGGAGAGGGAGAGAGAGATAGAAACATCAGTGATGAGAGAGTCATTGATCGGCTGCAGCCCGCAACCCGGGCATGTGCCCTGACCGGGAATCGAACCCCAATTGCCTGGATTCTAGGTAGATGCTCAACCGCTGAGCCACGCCTGGGTGGGCTAGTCTTAACTCTTTATTTTCTCTGTTAGTGTGAGTCACTAAAGTTGTTTGCCTGTGGCTCGATTTTCTAAATATTTTTGTAAGATCCAGTTGAAGAATCACTTCCTAAGATCTGTTTGAACACCAGCCAGTGAGCGTCTGACAGCTGCAAAACATTGATGTAGCAGCTGTTTTGTGTTAAAGTGATTATTTTAAACAGATAGAGAAAAGGCCAAGTATTTCATGTTTTATCATAAATATGTTAGAAGTAGGGAAGTATTTAACAATATACTATAATTTTAAAAAGTACACAATTATATTTTAGTATGTAAATCCCTATGTTTAAAACTGAAAAGACTTATCAAGAAAGAGATTTGAGAATATGGATATGAAGTTTTACTACAGCTTCAAAGACGAGAGCTAATTACTATGTGTTCTCATTTCTGGCACCATTTGCCTAGTTCCAGTCACACGTCTCTGTATGAGACAGTGCTGTAAGCAAGCCTGGCCACCAGACCGCACTCACCCTTGGGCACTTGGAGGAATTGGGCCTTGGGAGCTACCCAGTAGGGAGCCTTCTGCTAGCATGGTGATACTGATTCCATGTGGCCCCCAGGTCAGCCCTGGACGATAAACAGCCTTTATCATTTTACAGCATCGGGACTGTGCTCTAGAAAATGATTTAATCCCATAGATGTCATATCCTGAGTATTAAATGAAACACCTGGTGACCTTTTAGAGCTGCTGAGTGTTTTAGTTTGATGATGAATGTATACACCTTATAATTGTATTTCTGTGATTTGTCTGCTTCCTGTAGAACAATAAGCCTCCCAACCCACCAGCCTTCATCTTCATGATCGACGTTTCCTACAGTAACATCAAGAGTGGGCTCGTGAGGCTCATCTGTGAAGAACTGAAGACTGTGCTGGACAGACTGCCCAAGTAAGGAGCCTCTGCATTATTGCTAATTAGTGTACTGGCCAGAAGATAGGCCTGAGTGACCCTGAGCATCTTTGCCAGTGACAACATTCAGTAATTATTTATTCTTCAGATAGCACCACTCTTAGAGCCCTTAAAAAGTCAGAGTGATCATTTGTACAAAGCAAAAGAAAGAAAGTGGTAAAAAATAGTGTCATGTAAACAGTGGTCCAGATCCTTTATAAACTCCAAAGAAGATCCGTGTGGTGGGAGAAACGTGGGGAGTGTGTTGCTCATTTTCAAAAGCGTTGGTTTTCCAGTGGAAACTGGTAGTTGCTGGGTGTGGTAGAGAGTTCTCAGGGATGCCAGAAAAGGGCACTGTTGTCACCAAGGTTCCCTCTTGCCCTCTTGATGCACTGTCTGACCCCAAGGCTCATGGCTCTCCTGCCACCGCAGGGACAGTGCATGGAAGGAAAAGGGGAACGCTCTTAGCAAAGATGGCTGTTTTTTAGGGGCAGACTTGCGGCTCAGGATGGGAACTAGCGCCTAGTAAGAAACTGGGAGCAAGGCAAACACCTTCCTTCATGAGAGGAAGACGTGCTTCAGAAAATAGGCTAAGAAACCGTGCCTGTGCCAGAATCAGCATCTGCCCTCCCCGTCTCCGGGGCACAAGCATCTGTCTGGAAAGGGATGCTTAGGGGTGGGTGCCTCCTGCCCTCAGGGCTCCCAGGTCCTCAGGGTGGAGCAGAGGTGACTCTGGACTCACAGTAGCAATTTTGTTTGTATCCATGACCCCGAAGTCATAATATTCCTGAGGATGGTTTGGAGAAGCAGTGGGGATGTTTAAAAAACATTGAGGTGCTTTCAGACAGAATTCTAAACTAGGGATGAGCTGAAAGTACATGGACAATGGGCATAAGAAAGGCATGGGTCAGTGCAGGCAGTTGGGAAGTGTGGACTCCACACTGCCTTCCCGGGGCTGCTCGAGGTCTGAGTTTGAGCTTCGAGCTTGGTTAGCATGAGAGAAAAGGGTTCTAACTTCTGGGCTCTTGGCCTCTCCCACTGTTCCTTCGAGCTGGGCCATTTTCCCTGTCACTTCACCAGCCCCCTTTCCTTCAACATTGGCTGCATGACGCTTATAGCTGTTGAAAGAAGTTATGAAGCCCCCTCCTTCCTCAGGTATCCTGTAGCTGTGTAGCTGTTGGAACAGGTGGGCAACTCTGGCAAAGAGAAGAGAAAAAAATAATAGGGTACTGTTGGTAGTCCTCACCCTGGAAGACATCTCTTTTCTCCCTTTACCCTTTAAAACAAATTTGTTATTTTCTCCCCAAAATTTATTTTGGGCTATGTATGTGTATAACTTTATAATGTTCATGGTAAGGTTGCCCTTAATTTGAGGACTTCTTTGAACTAGAGTGGGTAATGTGCCAGATAGCCTTCGGAAGCACAGCATGTCTTGGTCAGTGTCTAAGGTATGTTCATCGCTTAGCTGATATTTAGAAAAGAGAAGGCTCCACTTTTTACTATTTAACTCTGAGTTTACATCTTTGAAATCGTAAGTTTCCTGGCTTTTCTGTCCGACTTCTCTGGAACAGGAATGAAAAGATTTGAAGTGTTTCACCTGTCTTACTGATTGAACTTGTGTTTTTTCTGATTGTATTTAATGCTGCTGTAGCTACAGCATTCAGAATGGTTGGTTTGGGGACATTCTGATTCATGTAGTTTGTAACGTCTTCAGTGTTGCTCTGTCAGAGTACTCTCATTGAAATGATCAGGATGAGTGTTGAGGGAACTGGGAATGGACCTGCAGAACAAAATGTGTTGTTCAGTGTGATGCCCCTTACACTGTGCTACACTGGGTAGGATAACATGAAGGAGTGGCCAAAGTTTTTTTTTCTGGATATGGTTTAATAGGCAGTGATACTGTTCAAAGGAAAATTTTAAGATAGTTCCCTGTTTCTCAAATTTAGAAAAATTGTTCCCATGGAAATATGTACTAATATTTTGCAATAATGTGAGATGTTCTGATGAGATGTTTTTTAAAAACAATTCAATTTTAAGTGAGTCCATGAATCCCAGGGTGCTCCTTTCCCATCACTTGCAAATGTCCAAATCCAGTGGGAAAACCAATCTGGATTCTTGTCGGTTATTTTTCTTTTCTGATTTTTGCCTTAGTTCACTCTAAATTAACCATTAAAAGAAAATAATTGTCCTTCATGATCCGCTGGACGTTTTTTGCCTTATGTATCAAAGGTTTGCTGGGAAACTGGCATTAACCTGAGGTATGCTGGTTAAACTGCCCTCGCATAAAGCCTTGAAGGTTGTGTTTGCTCAAGCCCATGGTGTAACACCTCTAGCCAGGCTGATTGTTACTACACTGGAGCTGGGAGGAGGTATGTACAGTCAGATACAGTGTTTCACCATCAGGGTGATCATCATCCACAGAACCCTAACTCCCACATTGTCTGTACCCCATGGGAGCAGAGAGCACACACTTTTGGGCCTGCCCTGTATTGGTTTCTTGTCCAGGATTCATGAAATGTTAACTGAAAGGTGCTATCTACTAAGAGGAGCCCCATGGGAATGATTCAGAGAATTTTACAGAGGAAATGCCTTCTCATTGGTGCCACAGAGGAGGAAGGATCTGTTCTTGGTCTTGAAGACTAACGTTCTAGTCAATAGAGCAGGAGAGGAATCGTGGACACGGTGCAGTGCAGTGATTCAGTGCATGGAGGTGTATAGTATGGGGCACTGGGGGTGTGCATGCGCATGCTCAGTTGCAAAGGGTAAGGATTCCCATTTCTGAAAATTTTGCAAGACTCCAGAATATAAACATTTACCTCGTACTTTTGGAAGGGATTATGGGGCTCAATTTCACTGTGTACCCATTGTGTCCAGGCCACAGTGAAGAACCAATACCTGAGTTAGCAAAGGCAGGAGGGAAGAAATGAAACAGTTTCGAGTCGCCCGCTCAAACATCAGAGGAGCTGGGAAGTGCTGTGGGATCAGCAAGCTGGACCTCAGACATTTTCACATGAGTGCTTCCCTTTTCCTTTCTTTTGTGCTCCTCACTCTGTGCCATGTGAAGGGTTTAGAAACTGAGCCAACCAGGTGCATTTTCATGAAGTGCCCTAAGCAAAGTCAGCTTTACTGACACCTAAGGATCAAAACATCTCTATCTCCTGAGGCTTTCATGTAACCATGGAGCTCTGTGTTATATCCACCGCTGAAAGCCAGTAGGAGCCTCAGGAGTGTCCAGGTGTGCTATTTAGCGAGGAGAGACAGACAGACACATGCACATGCACACACATGCACACACATACCTCAGTAAATGTGGAACTGGAGTCTAGACTCCTCCATTCAAAGTATACTTAGCATGGACTTGAATGGGAACATTCATGCCTTTATACTCTCAGTAGGATTAAGGCTTGTCTTGGAATTCCTCAAAAAATGTTATTTTTTGCTACAATATTGGAGCTTTTCTTATTTTCCCATGACCATCACAATGGTCACCTGTTACCTAGTATGAATTACATCATCAGTTTGTGCATGTGATTTATTTTATATATTTACACTGTATATATGGTGTATGGCTCTCAAATCCACCCACTTTCTATGGAGATTCTCCTGAATGTGCAGGAGTCACATAGAGGAGCAGGTCACTTCCTGACAGGAAGAGCTGTCCCGTCTGGCATGTGCTCCCTTCTCTGGCTTCAAATGCTCCATCCATCTCAGCTGACAGTGGCTCCGAGAGGGCTTTGTTTGTAAAGAAGGAATAAGCCTAGCTTGTATATAAAAAAATATTTGCTATGGATTGAGAATAAGTATAAGAAGAATTATGAGACTAAAGAAATACGAGAAATATTTTTTAAAATATCTATTTTATTTTTTTACTTTGAATTTTGAGAATCTTTTTCTTTATCAATTTACTTATTTCTGTACTATCCCATTCCCAACCACTGTGACTCAGTATTGTTTACATCTGGTAAACAGTGATTTAGACCAAAACTTTAAACACATCTTCCATGTGTTTTATGGAGCTCTACTTACTGAGCTCCTGAGAAAGCTCTTTCTTGTAAATAAGAAGGAACCTCACGCTTTTTGTTTCCCCCTAGGGAAGAGCAAGAAGAGACTTCTGCGGTTCGTGTTGGGTTCATCACCTATAACAAAGTCCTCCATTTCTTTAATGTCAAGAGTAATTTGGCGCAGCCTCAGATGATGGTGGTGACCGACGTGGGCGAGGTCTTTGTCCCTTTGTTGGATGGGTTTCTTGTCAACTATCAAGAGTCCCAGTCTGTGATTCACAAGTAAATATCACGTTTCATAATTTAGATACAAACTAGATGTCTAGTTTTGCTTTGATTCAATCACACATTATTTAGTTCTGCTATTAGCAGAGGGTTTAAACACAGGGATTATGAAACTCTGTCATTTATGCTAGTGCTGCCTCTTTTTAATGTAGACCAGTCTCTGACAGAAGTAATTTATTTAATACTCACACTCAGCCATATCAATTCCTCCTTTTTGCTGGTAAGTTCACACAAGGCTGATATTTCCTGCATGTGGATGAGTGTGTCCAGTGATAATTGTAATAATGAAAGAATTATTCGAGAATATACAGTCTAAGAGATCAGAAATGTAGTGAGTAGAAGAAATATCTACGATGAGTGTGATTCTATGAATATTCCAACCAAATCATAAATTTGGTGCCAAACTGTGCTAGGATGTGATTCCACCTTTAGGTGTTTGGGGTAAAATAGCATGTGTTAAGGCTTGAAATGTGAGAGATTTGTTTCTTAAAGTTAATTACAAATATGCTGATCATTTAGAACCTTGGCTCATGCATTTCTTACAGTTTATTGGACCAGATCCCGGAGATGTTCGCCGACTCTAATGAGAATGAGACCGTCTTTGCACCTGTCATTCAGGCCGGCATGGAAGCCCTGAAGGTGAGAAGGGCCTCCTTTAATTGCTAGTAAATGCAGTTTAAAAACAAGACACACATGAAAAGGAGGTTTCAGCTGTGAAAGAATATTCTGCCCTTGTTAGCACACGTGGGTTGCTAGAGGCTGTTCCAGACTCGCCCACAGACCTCAGGAGGAAGTGACCTGAGCCACGGATGGCTCCTGGTATTTACCTTCCAGGCCTGTGAGCATCTCAGCCACTGATCTGTCAGGATTTCCAGTTTAGCTCCTCCCTTTGGCTTTTATATGAACTTCATATGATCCACTTAAAAATATTTCAACAGTACCTGAACTATCAGATCTGAAGTAAAAACTCCCTTTCCCCCTCTTTCCTTGGAGCCTGTGACTGTCAGTGACAGGCAGGAGGGCTCCCAGTGCCTTGCCCCCTGCCTGGCAGGATACACTCAGAGCCTGTGTTTGTAAGGCCGCATGAGGACCATGGCCCTGCCTCTGAGCTCCTCACAGTGCCATAGGAGATGTGACTGCAACAGAAGACATGACATTATTGCTTGTTCCAAAAAAAGGGGGCAAAGAATTCCTTCAGAAAGCCCAGGACTGTTGCCAGGGAGTCACAGATGCAGATGTTCTGCACAAGCAGCCAGGATGAGAGTGCTGTCCTCTGGGGACAGGGAATAGAAACTGAGAGGACATGGAAGCTCAGTGTTTCTTCCTGTGAGTCCAAGTAGAGACGTGTTAGAGCTGCACACCCGTTTGCATTACAGCCTGCTTTCTGTCGGATGCCAAGTGAAATCTCTAGATGATCTGAGGTAATAAACTTGAAGCAGAGAGTAGGCAGGAGCTCACACAGAGCGTGTGCTTGGTTGTCACCAAGATAGAGAGGGCCTCACCGGAACATTATCCAGCGCATGCCCAGGAGTCCCAAGCTGTCCAGTAGAGGCTTCCACACCATATCCTGCAGCATGTGCTTCCTTCCGTCCACAGCGTCCAACACTGATACCCCAAATCTGTGAATTTCTGGCACTCTTCTCAGTCGGCCAAAGAACCGTGCTCTGAGTTAGCTCTTACTTCCACCATAGGCCTAAATAAACAGCATTTGGCAAAAAGCCGGAGGGAAATGGCCATAGTGGTTGTGCTTCAGATACATGACTAGGTGAGAATTTAAATTATTTTTATATATGTCTGTATTCGATTTCAAGAAGATGCATCATAACATTCTGTATACAAGTGTCCGTGGAGCCCGCGTGAAAGGCCCCAGGCCCTGGGGGTCTTGGAGAAGCACCTTTGGGGAAGTCAGGCCCCTCCTTCCTCCGGAGCTGTGGTCTGGAGAAGGTGGTAGAGACGTGAAGTGGTGCGACGTAGAGGCGCCACATCTTCCAGTGAGGAACGTAGGAGCTGAATGTTGAACAGGCCCCCCAGGCCAGCCTTCCTCAGCCCGCCTTCCATCACAGGAAGAACGACGGGGTCATTCATCTAATGCTGAAGCGCAGCCACGTGTCACAGTCAGATACAGAGCATGGGACAGATGCATCGCCACGGGGTTTCCCTTTTATGCTACTGACGAAATATGTATAAGTATGTGATTAGTGAAACTATAAAACTCACAGCCGTTATGTAAGGAAAGGATAAATAGGGCTTAAAAAATATTGAAGCTTATTTTTTATTTTTTTTGTTAATCCTGATCTGAGGATATTTTTCCATTGATTTTAGAGAGAGTAGAAGGGAGGGAGGGAGAGAGACAGAGAGAAACATTGATGTGAGAGAGGGACGTCACTTGGTTACTTCCCGAATGTGCCCCCACCTGGCCGGGGTTGAACCTGGGTGGTACCTGCTCTTGACTGGGAATCGAACTCGTGACCCTTCAGTGTGCAGGCCGATGCTGTAACCACTGAGTCACACCAGCCAGGGTTGAACCTTATTTTTTTAATGGGCCCTGACTTTTACCTTAGAGTTTTGCACCATAAGTGATGTTAACAAGGCAGTTACGTGTGTTTATCATGACGAACACCTTGTACTGCAGCACTGAATTCTCTCAACAGTATTTATATCATGACTGTTTTTCCTCTTTCATATACTATGTAACTGAGGCTTGGAGATGTTAAACAGTTTGCCTGGTGTCACTCAGCTCACAAAGTGGCTGAGACTCTAACCCGTGCCCTTCACTGCTGTGGAATCAGATCATAGTACGTCCACGAGTAGAGAATGTCTAGGGGACAGAACTTTTCACAGTGAAGTCCTGAGGTGAATCAGGTGGGCTAGGCAAAAGGAGCGGGGAGAAGATGGAATTTTTAAAAGTTTACACCTTTACTGCTACTTGAGTTAAACAAAAGATGCTTTTGTAATAATAGAAGTGATAGCAGTGAAAAAAATAGTCCTAGAATTTTAAATTTTTTAACATGTCATTATCAGTATCACTAGGAATTGTGCTTGGGTTTGGGTGTTGGAACAAATGTGCCTCACCGGACAGTGTGGCCGTGTCTTTGCTGCGCAGTGTATATGCGTGTTCCCTGCCTGTGCTGCATGTATCCTCCTGCCTTCTCATCCACGCTGCCAGCAGTAAAGGAGTCACCACTCACCACCGGCCACAGCAAACACAAGACCAGGCACAAACTCTTTGTGTCACCTGGGACCCCACTGCGGAGACCCACTCCACAAAGCATATCAGAATGTCCCTCAGTGCGACACATTGGGACAGGCTAACCTTGACTTCTCTGTGTTTGTTTTTTAAGGAAATTATTCTCAAACCCAAGTACCTTATTATTAGTAGCATGCTACTAGACATCTCCTGGCTGATCCAGGCACATCAGTGTGCCCCCAACCCAGCTCCAGGCCAGGAAAAGGGAGACATGGGCTCCAGGCTGAGGGAGCAGATGTGCAACAATATTCAAGTGTGCAAGGCACATGACATATTCCAGGAAGGGAAGAAACTCCCAGTGTGAGGCTGGCAGGGCAAGGAAGCATTGGGAATTAGACTGGACAGACTGACCTGCAGAGGCTGGGAAGCTGCCCTTCACTGGCTGTGGGACCTGGGCAGAACTGGCTGTGTCTCGGCTTTCCTGTCCTCAGAGTGCAGATAACAGGACCCTCTCCACAAGGCTGAGACTCAAACAAGGAACCACAGAGCAAGTGCCGGAGGCAGCGGATCTCACTGTTTCCTACCTCACCCCGCAAAGGAACGTGGGCTTTGTCCTGTATCAGAGAGTCTTTTTAGGAGAAAAGCCCAAATGCAACCAGAACAGCTGCCATTATTCAGACAGTGCTCCAGAGCCACATGCTAGGTGGTTTGGAGAAAGGCGAGAGCGGAGGATGCACTAGATAGGATCCTTTCATGTCAGTCACTTTTGCTTGTTAGGTGATTGTAGCTTCTTAAATAAGATTTTAAATATTCTTAAAGCTGAATTCACTTTCTCGGAGCCCAAGTCATCCTTTTGTTGCTTCCAGGGCCTAGAGACATAATGCGAGCACAAGTTTCTCCCTCTGTCATCTTGCCTGGTGGCGGGTTTCCGAGTGTTCTGTGCTTCCTTCCTTGAAAGGCCACTTCAGGTTTAACCCATGTTCACTGAAGGTTTCACTGGCGTGTTGCATCACGGCCCTGGGAGTCCTGTCACTTGCTTTTGCTCCAGGATTCCCTGATCCTGAAACACTGCACCGTATGCTAAACACTACACAACTTAGTTATTACAGCATTGTGGATGTAGACCTACAGTAAAATACTGGCTCTTTCACGTACAACTCGTGTGACTTGAGGCAAATCACTCATTCTCTCGAAGCCTCAGTGTTCCCATCTCTATGAAGGGTAGACTGGAACCTGCCCAAGGGAAAAAAGCTCACTGTTAGGATTAGATGAGGTGCTCTTAGTACTTGCCTTATAGAAAGTACTTTTGTTTTAATTGATTTTCTGATTCTCTTAAAACTTTCCTACCCACAACCTTTCCTGTGACTGTTTCCAGGCTGCAGACTGTCCCGGAAAGCTGTTCCTCTTCCACTCCTCCCTGCCCACAGCGGAAGCCCCTGGGAAGCTCAGGAACAGGGATGATAAGAAGCTGATCAACACAGACAAAGAGAAGGTACGTGGCGCTGCCTCCACAGTGTCTGCGTGTCAGCTCGGGAGTGGAGGAGGGCAGGTGCACTTCACACAGGAAAGGGGAGGAGCTCAGCGTGAATCCAGGGCGTTGTGGGCAACAGGAGTGCTTAGAATTGCAAGGAATGTAAGAAGTCTATTGCTAGGAAACTGATGTGCGAAATACTGCTACATTAAAGTGAGGTCTCCAACCGTTCCCATGAGTCATTAGCGTGAGACTGGGTGCTACGGCAGTTGTAGGAATGGAGGACCTGGGGGAGTGAGAAAGGAGGTAAAGGCAGAGGGGAGTGTGGGCTGCTCCCTGTGACAACACTCCTCTCAGAATCTGCTCTGCTCACACTGTGGATGGTGCAGCCGTGGGAACACGTCCGTGGGCAGGATGACAGCCTGAACCGGACACGTGGCCTTGCCCAAGTGTGTAGAGGGAGGTCAGCTGGATCAGCTTCTTGAGACTTGTTGGAGGATCAGAGTATCAGATAGAATTATGGGCAGACCGTGTTTCAGATGACAGGGCCCAGCCCAAAGGGCTGCACTGATGGTTGTAATTCATTCTTCAGCCCGGTTTGCTGCACTCAAAAATAATTTTTTTCTATTTAAAAAAATTCAGTAAGAATTCAATAGGAATTAAAAATTTAAACCAAAAACATTTTTTGATTTTCATTTTCCTTTCATGCATCTTTCCTCAGATCCTTTTCCAGCCCCAAACCAATGTTTACGACTCGCTGGCCAGGGACTGCGTGTCCCACGGCTGCTGTGTGACACTCTTCCTCTTTCCCAGCCAGTACGTGGACGTGGCCTCCTTGGGCCTCGTGCCCCAGCTCACAGGAGGAACTCTTTACAAATACAACAACTTCCAGGTAAAGCAAGCCATATGTTCACCTGGGTTTCTGTGGTGTTTTGGTCTGTATGCTCGGTCCCAGGTGAGAGCTGCACCCCCTGTGAGCAGCTGACAGATGGGAACTCAGAGCCATGGAAGCTGTTGCTCTCCCATGTCCTGAGTGTCTGCAGTACATGGAGCTTGTGCAGCCTCAGCTGAATACCCACGATGGGAAAATATGTTGTATATAAAACTCCTATGTTCAGTATATTTAAGGTATTGTTTTTAAAGTGAATATATTTATTTTAAATTGTTACAATTTGGGGGGGATCAGTTCATGATACCCGTCCCTTCCAAGTCAGAACTGAGAGAGAGTCAAGAGAGGAGCACTGTAACAGACCCGGGTCTCCTCAGTGTGACAGACGAATATACCAGGCACAGGGTAGGCATAGCTACAAGCTTCTCCTGGGGACACTGGTACCTTGAAAACATACCATATTGAAGGGCAGGAAATGTGCCGGCCGCCTCCCCAGAAAGAGGGTGCAGAAGAGGCTCAGCTATCTATGCCCACCTGTTCCTTCTCCCAGACTTACTAATCAGATAAGTCATCTGCCCTCACCTGGCCAGAATGGCTTAGGTGCCTCTGATTCATGTACCTGCACATGGAAACATGGAGTGGGCATGAGTGTTCCCCCAAGGTAATGACAGATGTTAGTCACCATCTATTTTTTTTGTATCATTGATGATTACCTTGAATCGTCTAGCCATACTGATATTGTAAACTAGTTAAGGGATTTGATAAGACTAGAGATTGCAAATGAAATTAAATTGAACAAGCTTTAAGAACGCTTTCTAAGATTTCTGGATAAAGTAGATTTTCATTAAGATTTTAAAAGTGAGTTATTGTTTTAAGGGTTTTACTGCCATCTGGTGGACATTGACCGCATTTTATCTTTTCAGATGCACTTGGATAGCCAACAATTTTTGAATGACCTCAGAAATGATATTGAAAAGAAAATAGGATTTGATGCTATAATGAGGGTCCGAACCAGCACAGGTATTTTCATTTATGCTGTTTTCAGGTGTCTGTTGTATAGTTGTTTCCTCTTCAAATTCATGACAGGCCAGTGAAGAAAATAATGGTAAAGTAGGGAGAAGCAGCATTTCCTTTGCCCTTGCCCTTAGGTTTCAGAGCCACTGACTTCTTTGGTGGGATTATTATGAACAACACCACCGATGTGGAGATGGCAGCCATCGACTGTGACAAGGCGGTGACGGTGGAGTTCAAGCACGATGACAAGCTCGGTGAAGACAGCGGGGCCCTGATCCAGGTGACGTGACCTTTATGCCCACCTCTGCTCTCTACTCTGTTACTGACAGTGATCAGCAGGGAGACCAAAATGTCATCGACCATGTTGGTCTCCCCATAAAGAATTCAGCTCTGTTCTCCCAAAGGCAGAAGGCATTAGGTTAGAGCTCCCCATCATGCATCCTCTGTACTCTAATTCGTGCCTATTGCTTGTGTGAAGCAGCAGTCACGTCATTGCATGAGAGCCCCGGCCTGTGGTCAGTGTCATGGCCTCAGCAGACTGGTGTCCAGGGTTAGATGCCAGGCTCAGCACTGTGCTCCTGCCTCACATCAGACACCATGTTAAGCATGTTATGTTCTAAATAGGATTGGACTTCATAGTCAATAATATGGAGACAAGAAAAATCATATCTTGCAAAATTATATGTCATGGACATAGTTTCTAGACCTACTTGAGTATCACCCTTAAGGAACGGAGAGAGGCTGGCATTGGTGAGGGAGAAGTGTACCTAATATTTACTTTAAACTACAGGCGTTTGGGTAACTGGTGACCTGCTTGCCTCTGGACATGTGTAGATAGACCGTGACACACACCTGAGTGCAGCATCGTAGTGTTTGTTTCTAAGAGCCGGGAGTGTGTGTAGGTCGTAGGACAGGAAGGCATTACTTCTGGCCCAAATCGCAGGTAACGTAGTGGGGATGCAGGCAGGAAGCTGCGTGTGAATAGCCCGATTCAAGTGTAAGCCTCACCCAGTAAAACGCAGCATGGAAGCCCAGCGTGTGCATGGGTCACCGTGCCTTTCCTTTAGCGATAACAATAACAGACAAAAGTCTGTGAGAGGGTGCAGAGGTCTTCCAGCCACACACACTGCCCTGTAACTGTGAGGTCAGGACCACTGGAGGGGGTGAGGGGTCGTGCTCACCAGGCAGCACGTGTTGGTTGCTGCCCCTGCAGTGTGCTGTGCTCTACACCACCATTGGGGGGCAGAGGAGACTGCGCATTCACAACCTGGCCCTGAGCTGCAGCTCTCAGCTAGCCGACCTCTACAAGAGCTGCGAGACAGACGCTCTCATCAACTTCTTCGCCAAGTCAGGTGAGCTTTGCTGACCCGTGGAGCAGTGCACCTTGCCTAGGACAGTCGCCCCTCTGTATCTGCGGGGGTGTGGTTCCAGGACCCCCAAGGATATAAAAATCTGCTGCTGCTCAAGTCTCTCATAGAAATGGCAGAGCATTTGCATAATAACCTACTCACATCCTCCCCTGGACTTTAAGTCATCTCTAAATTACTTATAACCCCAATCCAGTGTAAATGCTGTGAAAATAGTTGCTATACTGTATTGTTTAGAAAACAATGACAAAAATCTGTGCATGCTCAGTACAGATACAACCATTGTGGGCCTATGTAGTTCACGTCAGCAACTACATAACATATTTTCAATATTTTCTGTCCATGGGTGGTTGAGTCTGCACATGTGGAACCCGTGGATATGGAGGGCCGACTGTGATTCAGTCAGCCTGTGGTTAATCCAGTGAGCAGCAGGCAAGCACTGTGGTGGTGCAGCCTTTTGGTGGGTAAATTCAGAATTTATAAATGCCACGGGTGAAGGAGACTAGTCAGCATGTCTAACTAGATTAATAAAGAGGTGACTGAGTCAGGCCCCACTGTGCAGTTTTATTTAAAGTTTCCTTCCAGGGGTGTGAGCTAAACTTTGGACAGTGATAGTTAGCCTCCTGTGGTATGTGGGTGTGCCCTCTGGCACTTGGAGACAGTGGAAGAAGGTGGTCCCTAACGTAGACTGAACTCGTTTATCCAAACTGTGGTAATTGTGAAATGGCAGTGGCCGGAGGTGGAGTTCTCTTTGGCTTCCCCCTCTCTCCCCCCAATCCTAATGGAGATTCTATACTGGGGCTTAGAGGAAACAGCAGTCTAGCCTGTAGGAATTTGGAACGTCAGAAGAGGGTAAGCTGGTCCTTCTCTCTGGTGTGGAGTTCCATTTCTCATATTCCAAGAAAATATTAGGACCAGTTCCCTGCCTTTTGTTACAGGTAGGCTTTGGCTGTTGCTCAAGCTGGCTAGGTCATCATGTTTCATCATGAGGAGCGTTAGCCAATGACTAACATTTTTATAGGCTGTTATTCCTTGCTTAGTGGTCAGAGATAATAGCAATTTGTTCTTTTTTATTATGTGTGAAGGGATCAATTTCTGAGCTAAAACTCGTCCTTTCTTTGTTTTGTGCAAATAGCTTTTAAAGCAGTTCTGCATCAACCCTTGAAGCTCATCCGGGAGATTCTAGTGAACCAGACCTCTCACATGCTGGCCTGCTACCGGAAGAACTGTGCAAGCCCATCCGCAGCCAGCCAGGTGAGCACCTCCTGTGCTGAGAGATGCCTCGTCCCAGCCTCCCTGCACTCCTGTGCTGGGCTGGAGGCTGAAGGCTTGTGGTCCAGGCACTTAGGTACAAGCAACACTGAGGATGGCATCTGGGGACTACTGCATTTTATAGTCAGCGTTAAAAACGTAGTGAGCCAGGAAGTGTGTGTGCAAATTGGGCTGACAGGGCTGCACTGTGTATGAGCAGAGGTGTTCTGTGTGAGCACTGTGCACGTGAGCACTGTCATGATACACGCGAGAGTCTGTTTTGCCTGTGGAGATGGGTACTTGGTTGTGAAGTATGTGTGCTTAAATACTTTCCAGATGTATTAACAAAGGTGACTTTAGCTAATGGCAGTAATGAGTTCTTTATATTTTATAAACATGAATGTAGTGTATAGATATTGGGGTTCTTTATGTTTTAAAAATCAATAGGCATGAAGAGTTTTGAAAGCACTGTTTCTGGCCATCATCCAGTACTTTGAAATTTCAGACACTCCCTTAAATAACCCTCATTTCAACTCTCCCGTAAAGCAGGACCTCAGGCCCCTTTCACTTCCACATCGCTCCTCTTGTTCACATTCCTCCCCATGTCAGTCAAACCTGATGCTGTTCTTCAGAGCCATGTTGTGTTTCTGAGCATAGAATTTGGATTAAAAGAAGACAGTGAGCAACAGATGGGGAAACTTTCTGGTTCATTCATTGTCCAAAGAGGGTACTGAGAGCGTATCTGAAACCCCACCCAAACGTGAGAGAAACAGTACCTGAATTCCACTGTTTAACTATAGAGCCCAGATTCCTTGCTCCAAACACAGTCATTAAGGAGTGGCATGCTTGGACTGTGTGATACTGGGCCCCGGAAGAGAACTGCTTTAGAACTGGTTTGCTGACGAGGTTGAGGCCAGAGAGGCGTGGGCTGAGAAATTGAAGGAGGCACCCACTCTGGGGTCGTGTTGTCCATGCTCAGTTAAGATGTAATTATAGACAATATTGAAAAGATTTCTTAAGCTTCCATAAGCAAGGCAGATTCTTTTTATTAAATCTAATAGCTCACTGCTCTGAATTTAAATGTATCACTTGGGTGTACAGTGACTTCAGAAGGCAAGTCAGATGACTTATGTGCAAAGTAATAGGGTTGTTTTTAGATTCATTACCACTTCTGTCATTTCAAACCCAAAGAAGAGACAAATCCTTCAAATGCAATCAAACTGGACTCATAGGAGCTCCCACTCCAACCTCACTCACATCTTCTCCCTGAGAATGACGTCCTGGGAAGAGTGTCAGGCTCTGGAAGCTTCTCTTGTCCATCTATACTCAGTCCCTGGGGCCTTATGTGCCCTGTGGCCTCCAGTGCCTTCAAGCCGCTGATGAGTCCCAAGGTCCTACCTGTGCCTGCCTGTGTCCTGAGCTCTAGCTGTGTCAGCGATGGAGAGGTCGGGAGGGGAGGAAGGTGCACAGTGCCCCCTTGCACATTTATTTCCTGCCTCACTGACTGAGACTGTTTCCTTGTTTTCTGTTACTCTAGCTCCATTTCTCTTCAGTTTTTCTTATTTACATCTTTAGTTTTCTTCCCTCTGACCCCTTATCATCCCGTCTCCTATAATCAGACTTTCAGTCCTCATAGTTTCACCTGGGCCAAGCTCACCCCTTTGTGTCACTGAGGATAACAGATTTCTAAACTGTCTCAAGATGACCCGATTCATGAGAAGCAACCTGTGAAATTGCAAGATGATATTCAAAAACTGGGTGTACACACTTGTACATGGAATATAAGAACATGCTTAATCTATAACATGCCAGATACCCAGCTGGTAACCACCCAGAAACAGCACGAGGCCACGTGGCTCTGGAATGTGACCATAATCTTGCACCTCCATCTTTGGATCAGAATCTCCCTTGGGTGAGAAAGTAGGCCAGCACGAGAGGCCAGAGAGAAATAGATTATGTGAGAGAAAAAATTGCAGGAAGAGTGTGTGCTACTCATGAAGAAAGGAGCATATGACTGTCTTTAGTTCTCTGAGAGATTAGAAGTTGAGAGAGAAACCACCTGCCAGGAGAGCTGTTCAGAAGCAGGGGGGAGGTTCATCCCACACCTTCCTTATCAGGGGCCTGAGGAGGCCGGACGCAAAGGGTTCACGTGGAGGAACAAGACAGGGCCCCGAGTGAGAGTTTCTTCCCAGCGAGGATTGTGATAAGTGTCTGTTCTTTTTCATCACTAAGATGGAAAGCTAAGACACTGCTATTGGCAAATGATCTATATGCTCTTTCTCTTTTGGATATTTCCTTACCCACTGACCACTGCTACATGAAGGAAGTGGCGCCCTGATCAGTCTTGATTCTTAGCTATTTTTACAAAAGTGAGTTGTGAGAAGGTTAAACATCTGAAAAAAGTGTCTTTCTTTTTCAGCTCATTTTGCCGGATTCCATGAAAGTCCTTCCAGTGTACATGAACTCTTTGTTGAAAAACTGTGTGCTGCTCAGCAGACCCGAGATCCCGACAGACGAGCGGGCGTACCAGAGACAGCTGGTCATGACCATGGGTGTGGCTGACTCGCAGCTCTTCTTCTACCCGCAGCTCCTGCCCATAGTGAGCACACCTGTTCGATGTGTAGTGGGAGAGAAGGGGGAGCGGGAGAGGGAGGGAGGGAGAAGGGAGAAGAGGGGAGGAGGAGAGGATGGGTTTCTAACTCTTGCCGCCTCTGCCCAGCACACGGTAGATGTCAAGAGCACAGCAGTGCCTGCCGCCATTCGCTGCTCTGAGTCCCGTCTTTCAGAAGAAGGAATCTTCCTCCTCTCTAATGGTCTGAACATGTTCCTGTGGTTGGGAGTCAGCAGCCCACCAGAACTCATCCAGGGAATATTCAGCGTGCCGTCTCTGGCACATGTCAACACCGATATGGTAGGTATTTTTCATTGTTTCTATGGTAATATACAAACAAATTCTTAAATATTTTTGTTCATGTGCAACCATGTATTACAGAGAGGGAAAAGCAAGGCATATAGTTCTGTATGAGAGCAAGAAAATTTAATGTTTTGCCTAATAACAATGAGCTGGTATAAAGTTGTTTGTAGAAAGTATTAGACAACCCAAATGTGTGACTTTAACACTATGTAACCTTCACTGTGCTCTAAATACTTCAAATACAGCATTTCATTTACTTCACGTAACAAGTCAGTGAGATGGGTATTGTCATCACCGTTTATAGCCGAATCAGCTGAGGTCTGGGGACAAGTGCTCTCAGGTAGGGAGTGGCCAAGGTGGGAACTGAAGTCATTCTTAGTCTGGGGCTTATCCCTGGAGCTGCACTGCACGGTTCACAGAAGACGGAAATCTCTCACACTCAGCTGCAGACCACGTCAGATTGATGAACTGCAAAATAGTACTCCCACAAAAACATCACTCACGCCTCTGCTGCACTTGTTACCAGAGAGATTCTGTGGTTTGACGTGGAATGAATTCAAGTGACTTAAAATATAGTAGGAAAAACCAGCGATGGTAACTCGTTTGAGTCAACATTTATCGTGAGCTTTATTTATCCATTGCTGGGTGGGCACCGTGGCTGTGGTGCTGCTGTCTTCTCTGCTCGGCTTTTCTTTACAACTATGAAAAATGGTGGCCATGGTCGTTTGCTGAAACTATGACTCTGGTAAAATGTTGGAATTCCGCCTTTCAGCTGCAGCTCACAGAGGACTATTACTCCTGGTAGCTTCTGGCTAAGAAGTAGGCATTAGCATTTTACCCTGTCTTATTGGGTGTAGGCACTAAGGCCAGATCCCCACATCCCCAAGGCCCTGTGCAGCTGGACAGGTGTCTTCTGCGGACCTGTAAGCAGATTTCAGGGAAATTTGAGGGGCTGCATTCCCCTTGAGAAATCAACATTTGGTTCTAATGTGGAACGGTGGTACTTGGATGGCGTTTTCCAAACCTCATAGTGTCTCAGGGTCCTGCAGCTGGTTACTTTGCATCTTTCTGCTCACAGCACAGCCTGGAAACACGCCCCTCATGCAGGGAAGGAGCACCTGGCCAGTGGCCCAAGGACGTCCTCTGCACAACAGCCCGTTGTGTAATCCAGGGAGTCTCAGGGCCAGAGCTCGCTGGAGGACACGTGTGTCAATAGGAACAAAGCATTTTAGTGCAGTGGCTCACATTTTTATGTTTAGGGAAATGAACTAAGTCATTAGTGAAATATATGGTTTAGGAGGATGTTAACTGTAACATTCTAATAATCTCATTGCTGCTTCTACCTAAATGTAAGTTATACTAAGACGTTGATTTTCCTAATTGTAGACAGTGCTGCCGGAGGTGGGAACCCCTTACTCTCAAACACTCAGGACGATCATGGGCATCCTCCAGCATAAGAGGCCGTACTCAATGAAGGTAAGAAGGAGATTTCATGTTTAACTCTCTTCATTTTTTGAATTTCATTACAGACTTCTTAAATGTACGTTCTATGTTTTTATAGGATAGAAAACTCACACTAACCTCTAGGCATATCTACCTACTCACCAGACCCAAATGTACAGAGTAGATGGCCACTGCCCCAGGACATCTGTGGTGATTAGAGGAAGTCCTACCTCAGTCATCACGGAGACCTTTGCCAGACTTCCCTTCAGTGCTTAGAATACCAAGTTATAGAAGTTCCACTCAGAACATCTGTAAAATCTTATTTTTACAACTTCAGATTTATGATCTCTGCAAAGCTTTGTTATCCTGGCCCTTCAAAGCCCCTTTTAAGCCATTTTTGAGTTTGAGTAAAAGAACTAAAAATGTCTCTAACTCAGGAGAATTGAGCCTTGTTTTTGAGTCCCATTTACTCACTTGGCTTCCTTCTCTAGCTCAGTGTCAGAGTCTCCTGGAGTTGGAGTGCACAGGTGATGCCTCCAGGGACCAGGACATTGCAGGGCCAGTTTCCCCAAACATGAATGTGGTGTCATTCTAAACCAGCACTATTCCTTGTGAGAGGTGCCCCTGCATGCAGACCTCAGCTTCACCCTCCTCCCTGTGAGAGACCCTCCTGCATGCAGACCTCAGCTTCAGGCCAACCAGCAAACTGAACTAACGAAGAGCTTTACAATTTCTAGGATGTTAGGTGAATACAGAACTTTCTAGAACAGTTTTCACTCCACACAGCACCTGCTTGAGTTCAGTTTTAGGACAAGACCTAGCGATGGCAGGAAGTCCCACACTAAACACACTCCACATGACACTGACCACCCTGGGGACGTAGATGAATCTGGGGGTCTCGTGACACATGGAAAGCGCTGGTGTCCCTAGTGCACACGTGTGGGACATTCCATCTGCTCAGGAACCTCCTTCCCGGAAAAGTAACCCTCTTCTCTCCTCTGCTGCCTCCCACCTGCTGCGATAACTCTCATGAAGGCTGTGTCAGCTTTGGTTATGAAAACATCGGGGTTAAATGATATGTGAACAGAATAGAAGCAGTTGCGTGGTGAAATCATTTTAACTTACCTTTTTAGAGAAGCAGATTCTCTATGTGCCACTGGCAAGTGTATCTGTTTGTAAGATTCCTTAGGCCTTTCCAGGTACTGTCTATATACAGAATTTGAAAATCTAAGGTCTACAGATGTTTGTTAGAGCTGAAAGGAATCTAGAAGACACCTGGTTCAGCCCCAGCCATCCAGCTCCCCCTTCTCCATGTCACAGATGTGAAAGTGGGCACAAAGGAGCTCCCTTCCCTGGTCAGCCCTCACAGTGAGGTCATGGCAGCGTAGAGAATAAATAGCCCACATGTGAGCAACATGAACTTCCCCCAGACTTCCCAGAGGAAGTGACATCCTAAAGAACCTAGAGCCTCAAATCCTTCCATTCAGTGTCTCATTCTGCCCAGTCTCAGCCTGGCTTGTAGCACGGGGGCCAGACTCACATGGCCGCTGCTGTCGTGGACAAACAGCCGATTCCTAGTGGCATGTGGGAGGAGGTGGACACAACCCAAGTAAGACAACAGCCTTGGCTACAGGCTCGGCAGGACGCACGTCTCCTCACAGCTGCTGTGGTGTCACTTCCCAGTGCCTAGCACTGACCCTGGGAGCCCCGGCATCACCCATGTCCCCACCCACATGGAACTCGCTGAGCTGCGTTGTCAGCAGCAGCAGCTGTTGTTAGATTATTTATTTACTTATTTTGGTTAATCCTCACCAACTTATTTTGGTTAATCAAATCCTCCATTGATTTATTTAAGAGAGAGTGGAAGGGAGGGAGGGGGAGAAAGAGAGAAGCATCGATGTGAGAGACACATTGATTGGTTGCCTCCTGAACGTGCCCTGACCAGGGCAGGGGATCAAACCAGCAACCCAGGTACGTGCCCTTGACCGGAATTGAAACCCACGACCCTTCAGTCCACAGGCCAGTTGATGCTCCAACCACCGAGCCACACTGGCCAGAGCTGTTGTTAGATTATTATTTTTACAGGCCAAGTAACATAAAAAAAGCAACTGTGTGTTGACGGAGTCTTCCTGTTAGACAACTGAAGAGCCTAGAAAGCAGCAGTGGGGGCTGGGCCCTCCTGGCCAAATGGAACCTCCCTTCCCGCTTTGGCTGGTGAGGCAGGACTGCAGCCCCTGGGTGGTCCCCCATGACTATGCAGGAAGTGGGTGGGCTCCACAGATACCAAACCTGACCATTCTGATCACCTACTGGTTCCTGAGACAGGAATGAGGACAGGCAGGTAGGAGGGCCCTTCACAACAGAACACCCGTCTCCTGGGCTTCTCCCCTGCATCTGTCCCCCTGTAGTGGCACTGTCTTGTAATGTCACATTTAAAACGCAAGAAGTTCGTTTTAATAATATATCCAAACTGTTATCCGTTCCACATGTGATCAATGTAAGCAGTTAGTGAGTTTTAGCTTTTTCCCCACAGTGAATATTAGAAATCCACTGTGTATTCACAGTACCGCACTGCGGTCCCGCTGGGAGCAGCTGCGTTCTAGTGGTCAACAGCCATATGGCCGCTGGCTGTGGTGTTGGACAGCACAGCCTAGAGAACCTCGAGTAGGGACAGGCCTTCTCCCCGCATCCCTGTGGTCCCCTGCTCTGTGCCCACACGGCTCAGACCCCGGTCATCTTGTCCCCAGCCAGTTCCCCTCACCTCACTAAGGTGTTGTTCTCTGTTGCTACCTGTGCTTGAACCTCCTGGATCCCGTTTTCCACAAAAGCCTGAAGTGACGATTATGTCATTTGCCCCTCAGCTCCCACTGACTTTCAGAAGTGTGTGCTAGTTTACATGCAGCCAGGACTGTGTGTGGCGCATGGTGTATGGTCCCCTGCTAGTCAGCTCCATGGGAGGCCTTTCCCTTAGCTCTCTGCTGATGTTTGGGGGTGGGCGCCCCTCCACTCTGGATGATGGCACTTCCCATGTCCTCTAATGCTTCCCACAGTGGACACAGTGACTTTGGTGACGTGGAAGCATACAAAATGGAGCCCTACGCAGGAAGTGTTTATAACCAGCTTCCTTATGTTATCTCCTAGCTCGTGATTGTGAAGCAGCGAGAACAGCCGGAGATGGCTTTCCGGCAGCTCCTGGTGGAGGACAAGGGGCTGGACGGAGGGCCGTCCTACGTGGACTTCCTGTGCTGCGTGCACAAGGGCGTCTGCCAGCTGCTGAACTGATGCCTTCTCTGCGGCACGTGCTGGTTGCTAAGGAGACCCTCTCTTCGTGGTGCCTAATTTTCCAGGTGATAGATAGCAGGCTGCTTTTGATTTCTTGCTCATTTTCAGAAAAGCTTTCCAGGCCGGCCTTTAGATCGCCAGCTTTGGTGCTCAGGTGTGACGCCAGTGGAGGGGCCACTGCACCTTACAGGGGACCATCTGCTTCTCATCCCACTCGTGCGACTGTTCAAGCGGACAGTCCCGTTTCACGGATGCACAGTTTACAGAACTGCAAACACCCTGACGTTCTCTCCATGCTAGGCATATAAATTATTTTTCAAAATGTATAGACTCGGGTAAAAACTTTTCTCGGTTCATCTCCCATTTGTAGTGAGGGAGAAAAACGTAATTTTTTTCATTATATTTTTTAAAATCATGTAACCCCACTGAACATTTTTCAACTTGAGGTTTGCATAGCAGACTTTTAATGACCTTGGAATCTATTTGGTAGAACAATTTGTGTTCTACATTTTTTCATAATTATAGGTTGTATATGGTACAATTTGTCTATACAGCTGTCTTTATCAATACTCTTAGTGGTTCTCTGTACAATTCTGAAGGTTTCTGCCTGCATATAATGGGTCTCAGCCAGCACCAGTAAACCCCTTCACATGCTCTTGCTCAGCTGGTAGACTCAGGCTTAGGTGTTCCGAGGTCGAGGGCCCAGAAAGGCACCACCTTCGCTCTGGACGTCCACCCAAGTGACACAGGGAATCGTTAAGGGGTATGTGCATTTTTCTAATGTTCGGTCAGATGGAAACATATTTCTCATGTATTAATAAAACAATAAAGATAAAAATTCAAATTATGTGTGTGAACATAGAGAACCTGAAGCTGAATGTGTGCCCAGGAGGAGGCAGTACACACTGAAGTGTCTGAATCTCCAGAAAGGCTAATCGGAATCTTCCCTAAAAGGCAGTGCTCTGGGGAGAGCTGACGTGTGGACTCGGGTTGCTGCAAACACAGGATGAGATGCTGACTGATATGGATACAAGACATGCGAGAGGCTGGCAATGGTCCAGTGTCTCTCTAAGGCGCACTCCCTCCTGGACCCTGCTTGAGATGGCTGAGCAGCCATTCAGCTGTCTCTGTGTTAGAAAATCTTCTTAGCAGACCATTTCCTGAAATTCCTCCTTTTTGTGCAGTTCTGTATCTGCTGAGGCCACAGGGGAGTTCTGCCTCTACTGGATGGCGGCTTCCAGGTAGTTCAAGGCCCACACCTGTCCAGGCAGGTCTTCCAGCTCCCAAAGCGAGTCCTCATGAGCATGGATCCCAGAGCCCTTGTCCTCCAAGCTTAGCACACGAAGGCCCAGGCTTGTGTCACATCAGAACAAGGGGAACCTGGGAGGAAAGTGGCGAGTGTCCAGTTAACTCCTATCACACCGCAGCTGCAGAGGGTGAGCTGTGCAAGACTGTCTAAGGGGTGTTTTCTTTTGACAATATTTTTAAAAATTGTTACCAGCTAGTTATAAATATAAAACTCTTTTGCATAAGAATTTTCAATTTTAATACTTCTTACAGAATAAGATCTTAGTTTATTAAGCTAGTCTTTTTTAATTGTAGGAGTTTTTCAAATTGCGGTATCCTTTGGGTCCACGAAAAACTTTCTTGAAAAACATTGTCTGTGTTTGAAGAAATCAGCTTTGGGATGCTCTATGGGGTTTAATGCCTATGTGGAAAAAAGGCTTTACATTTATGAATTGGGGGAATGAGATTTAACACATAGATTGTGACTTTGCAACAGGAAACACTAGTGTGCAAAAAAAAAGTCCCGTTTTACACATCGCCCTCATGGTATCTGACCCTGTCCCACAGGACGGTGGGAACTTTCCTCATTGGCCCACATGGGGACCGGTCTCAGCCCCATGGTCCCCTGAAGCCCAGGGCCACTCTGCTGCCTTGCTGTGCTCAGGTGTGGGGACCAACACTTTCCTGGGTGCACTCTCAGCCAGTTCCCAGGGAGCTCACCTCCCTGGAGCCATGAGTCTCAGGACTCCTGGACCCCTCATGCTGCCTGTCCCCCCGAGTCCGGCGATGTGCTGTCCCTCGGGCCCTACTCCTCACGGGAGGAGCCAGTCTAACTTTGTACTTCAGCCCTTACCAGCAAGGTGATGCAGACAGTTAAGTCACTGTCATTCCGGGGATAGGTTGCATTTGACAGAAAATATTTAAAAATTTATATCCTGGGGAAAGAGGTGCCTTTAAAGTCAGACCAGGGGAAACTGGTTCTGTAAGTCCACTGAGAAGTGCCAGGTCTGCGGGAATTACTTTGTATCCTGAGCCTCAACCATAATGTTCTCTTGAGAGAAAAAATAATCCATCTTAGAAAAACAGTCTTCCTGTGAAGCAAGAAAGCCCCAGCAGAGGGAGTAAAGAGGCCACGGCGCCTCGGGAATTACTTTCAGGTGTCAGCAAGCACAGGCGCAGAGGCTGTTTGTGCACTGACTGTGACATTTAGAAGCTGGGGAAGTCCACCTCTGCCTTTATAATGTGGGTACCGGGCAGAGGGCAGGAGCAGGGTCACAGGTTTGGGGCTCAGTGAGGAAGCGCAGTTATCAACTGCACTGGTTGCCTTCCCCTTGATCAGGACAAGCGGAAGCAACCAGAACTGGAGTGTCCACGACAGCTTCTGAGGCCACCCCCATCTACTTCCTGTCAGCACCACCCCTAGGAGATGGGATTTAAGATTCAGGGAGTCAGTTGGCTGCCAAGCTGACATTTGAGCTTATTTTCTTAAATTTTGCTTTGGAACTTATTTTTATAAATACAATATTCTTAACCGTGCTTACATGCTTTAAAAATAAGAGCAGTAGAAAAGTAAGCTCTAATCTTTTTTAAAGACTGAACTTAGAGAGAGAAACGTTGATTTGCTTTTCCACTTACGCAGTCTTTGGTTGATTCTTGCATGTGCCCTGACCAGGGATCAAACCTGCAACCTTGGTGCATCGGGAGGACGCTCTAACCAACCGAGCGACCTACCCGTCCAGGGGGAGAAAGCTCTAATCTGGGCCTCCTGTGTCCCAGGCACATGGGCCTAGCTCTTTGGACAGCCATTTCCTCCATCCACCTGTGCAGCTCATCTGAATTATGGGCAAGATCCTTACATCAGCCATCTCTCCTTCACTCAGTATTGAAGTGTGCGGGCCTATTCTGAAGCTGCCATTAAAAGCACAAGCCTGTAAAAGGACAGCAGATTCCATAAGCAGTGACCTTGGTAGTGTACCCAGCATAAGCCACTAAACTGGACACCTCTGAACAAAACTACCCTTGACTTCCCATCCCCTGCTTTAAAGACAAAATAGAAACTACATAAAGGGACAGAGTAATCTGGTGGTTCTTTCTGCCACAGGCCAACCCTCCACCTCCTCTCCGGCGCACAGGTGAGTGGCTCAGTCACACCCTGTGAGGATCAGTCCGCTCTGCAATCTCGTGGCCAAAGCATCCGGCAACATAACACACGTTCAGAGGTGATGGTCCCGTCCCAGTGGAGTAACACTTTTAGTAAAACTGGTTATGTAGTGTTTATAGGGCAGAACTTAAAATGTGCCTACAGCATTTAGCTAGCAAAATTAATTTTAAGAAATTTAGTTCCATGATGCAAATGTAGGGAGTTCACATGAATATCTCAGATTTACCCTCTCCCTGTGGTGCCAGTAGCTGGAGCTGAGCAGCGATGCCCACCTGACCCAGGGTGTGAGCCCCCCTGTCAGCACCTGTCTCAGGTCTGGTCTCCATGGCCCTGAGGTGGGTCTGGCCGCTGATTAAGGTGCTCTGAGCTGAGAAAACCCATCAAAGTGGGAAAACAGCGCAGACAAGATAAACAGGGAGAGCAAGGGGGTGACAGTAAGTGCTCCCATCTTCAACCTGCACACGAACGCTTGCTCCACTGACTTGTACTATATGCTCGGTTCCTGTGTGGCTGCTACACTGCACCTCGAGTCTCAATTACTTAGTGTTTTTAGAAAAACCTAATGTGACTACATGTTGTTGGCACATGTAGTTAGAGGCAGGAACTCTGACACATACTCCAGCTGATCACCTGAACCTTCTGTCTAGCGCTGGGAAGGGTTTACAGGAGGTAGTGTTTTCTCCGTGCTCGCAGCTGGCAGTGTTTACATCTGTGTAGACGACGGAGGCTTTGCGAGCAGGCTTTTCCAGAAATGGAGACTTCAGAGGGCTCCGTTGTCTGGATAAACGGTCTTTCTGGGAAGTCCTAGATTTATAGCTTCAAAGCTGATGACATATACTTGATACCCAAGCTAAAGCTTAGTTCCGGTCACCAAACATCAAGGCAGGTAACTGCTAAGTCCCACACAGACCCAACATTACAGGACTGCTTTAAGAAAGGCCTTGCTCATAAACGAAGGTTTGCTTTAATAGCTTACAAAATTGAGAAACTTTCTGAGTATTAATTAGAATGAGCCCCAACGGGGCCATCATTTTGTCGAGTCAATAGCAACTGTATTAAATCAGTAAGATCTGGAACCGTATACTTCAAAGACCAAATATTACACTCAGGATGAGAACATTATGGGTTTTAAAGGAAGCCTCTGTAGCTAATCAGATAGTAATTAGCAGCTGTGATGGTAGAAGTATTTCAACATCATGAGGGGAATCGCTCCTGCTCCACGAGACGAGGGCCAGTCAGCGGTCACCCGGCTCCTTCCACAACTCCACTTACTTACCACCAGCTCTGGCGACACCTCCCTCGCTGCACAAGGGAGGCAGGTGGTTTCAGGTTCCATGTGTAGGAGCTCAGGACTCGCAGGAGGCTCTTCTACTCACCAAAGAATCTGAGCAGATCGCCGTTGCCAGTGCTGGTCCTTCTACCTGTGGGTGTGACTGGCTGCTACACCAGACTCCACGTGACCCTGTCCTCTCTCCCTTGGTGCCATCTGTGGGGACCTCCCTGCACCCCGACTGCAGTCTCCAGGGTCTGATACCCCCCAACGACATGTTCCAGCCGACACTACCGGCTCCTCCCCTTTCTATGCTCCAGGGAGGGGAAGTCAAGGGCAGTGGTTGGGGCATCCTGAGCCCACCATCTGCAGNGCTGATGGTTCAGCAGTTTGGGTCTGATACCCCCCAACGACGTGTTCCAGCCGACACTACCGGCTCCTCCCCTTTCTGTGCTCCAGGGAGGGGAAGTCAAGGGCAGTGGTTGGGGCATCCTGAGCCCACCATCTGCAGGAGGAGGGCACAGGGAGCGATGCTGCCACTGAAAATAAACATCTGGCCTCGAATATCCAGACCTGTAATTACATATGTTAGGGATGNTCTGATACCCCCCAACGACATGTTCCAGCCGACACTACCGGCTCCTCCCCTTTCTATGCTCCAGGGAGGGGAAGTCAAGGGCAGTGGTTGGGGCATCCTGAGCCCACCATCTGCAGGAGGAGGGCACAGGGAGCGATGCTGCCACTGAAAATAAACATCTGGCCTCAAATATCCAGACCTGTAATTACATATGTTAGGGATGTGCGTCTTAGAACTTTGAGAACTAGGAAAAAATGGAGGGTTATTTCAGAATTACCTGCTGATATCCCCATAAGGAATCAGTAAGTGAAGCAGCTAAAACTGCTTTTGGTGATTCCGAGATAACTTTGAAAATGTGAGACAGGTCAATGTAAAGCTGATGAAAAGTCAGAAGCACTGAGCAATGGGCTGGTGTCTACTGGAAACCTGTCCTCAGTGAAGATTCTAGCGTGGAAATGGTGCTGCCACCTGGACTGGCAGGAAGGGAAGCACGTGAGGCGATCTTCCTGTTGTAAAATATGCCATGTGAGGCTGTCCTGTGGTAACTCTAGGCCTTGCACTCTCTCCAACCACCTGCTCTTGCTCTAAATATGGTGGGCGTGGCTCCCTTTAACTTTCAACCTACACAGAGGTCATTCCTAACCTTCCATAAGACGACACTGGCACACGCCTCCCAGGTGACAGGCCAGGTGAGTACAGCACAGCAGCCTTCCCTTGGCTGCACCCAGGGCACAGACGTCAGGCGAGTGCTGTGTAGGTCGGGGCCTTCCCAGGCGGTGTCTCTAAGGACCCACACTGGGCGAGTGGACACCTCTCCTCCTTTGTCCCCTGGTCCACTCTGACAGCTCTGTCTCTAGGTAATTTGTAACTACTGGAGTTGAAAATACACCATCATTTCAGTGAAACCGCTAACCAACATCAGATCTTCAGGAGGCATCATCAAATGCTACCTGCCCTGCAAGGACCGGCAGGTGGAGCCCCTCACACTCCTTTGGCTTTGAAGGTCTCAGCCCTATTTCTATGACTCAGCCCTTTTCCTCAAACAGCCTTCAGTGGGAATCAGCTGCTTTCAGGGACAGTGCGAGCCACTGAAGTGCATCCCAGACCAGGAGAGGGTCACCCCAGGTCAGCCCTCCATCAGGACACAACCGCAATTCCAATTACAGAAAACACTTCTGAGTTTCAGGTTTCATTAGAAAAATCATACACAAAATAAGATATTTATCAAGAATAGTGGTATTTCATTCATGAAATTCATTTAAAGCATGAGTTAGAGCTGAGAGAGACGACGTGTCACCCCAGGGACCCATCTGCCGCCCATCCCTGGGGAGCCCCCGTGCGCCTGGCCAGAGCAGCCGCCGCTCCTCCCCCGCCGATTTCTCAGGCCGGGCTTCTGCTCGAGCTCATGGGTCTCGCACGGTTTCCTCGTTTAAAGACGGGCATGTCCTCATCACCGAGGGCTCAACTCCCCAAACATTTAAGCGCGGCAGCTGAGCCAGTATTTCTTGCTGTCTCCGCTGCTCACTGTTGCCCAGAAGCTGTAGCTTCCCGGGCGCGCCCGCCTTCTCCTCCGGCGCGTGGCGCAGGCACCGGGATGAGCTCAAGTCCCCCCGGGCTCTGCCGCCCTACACCCCCGGGAGCTCCACCTCCCGGCGCAGATCTCAGCTTGGGAGGTGACTTTGTTCCAAGTCTTTCCATTTCTTCTGCAGTCGGATTATGAGTTTAAGATTAAAAAAAAAAGTCTCTTTTTATTGTGCCATCGAGAAAATGTTAGAACCGACCACAAGCTTACCACGGCTTCCGCTGCGTCCTGCGGGGCCCGAGGCTACGAGGCTTCGGCCTGGGGCTTCCGCTCCGCTCACTGCAGCCCTTTCCAGAGCGGAAGCCTGTCCATCGGCACCAGGAAGCCTGTCCGTCGGCGCGAGGTGGGGCTCTGCACGCGGAGGCATCTGCGTTGCTCCCGGGGTTCCATGCGCAGGAGAGGCAGGGGAGCGGCTCCTGGACAAAACCAGCGCGCGGACCACGGGGTGCTGGGGCCGCTGGAGCAGCGCGGGCCGGGGCGGGCCGAGCGTCTTGGGAAACCAGCGGGGCGCAGGCAGGGGCCGGCTGCAGCCGTGGGTTACC